ATTTTTTTTTTTTTTTTGGTGACAGGGTTTCACTGTGTAGCCTAGGGTAACCTCAAACTCAGCGATCCTCCTGCCTCAGCACCCCACGTGGTGGGATTACCAGTGTGTGACACCGTGCCCAGCTCTAATTTCCTTCTGGCATAAAATGGAATCTCTGTTACTTTAATTTGCATTTCTCTAATGGCCAGAGATGCTGGACATTTTAAAAATGTATTTCTTGATCATTTGTATTCCTGAGAAGTATCTGTTCATTTCAGTTTCTTATGTTTTTGGTTGGGTCTTTTGTTTTGGAGAGGTCTGGTATTTTTGAGTTCTCTGTGTGTTGTAGATATTAGTCCTCTCTCTGAGGAGTAGCTGGCGGAAGTTTTCCTCCATTTTGTGGGTTGTCTCTTCACTCTGTTAGTTTCTTCCTTTGCTGGGCAGATGCTTTTCCATTGCGTACGAGCCCATTTTCTTACCTACGTTACTTCTTGTGCAGTTGGGGCGCTCTTCAGGAAGTCCTCGCCTATGTGTGTGTCTTCAAGACTTTTACCTATTCTGTCTTCTAGCAGATTAAGCGTTCTGGTTTAATAGATAGGTCTTTGATCCATTTTAATTTTATTTCAGTGGATCTAGGTTTAGTCTTCTGCATGCGTGTAGCCAGTTTTCCAGGCACCATTTACTAAAGAGGCTATCTTTCCTCCAGTGTATGCTTTTGGCCCCTTTGTCAAAGATCAGACAGCTGAGGGGTCGGGGATGTAGCTTAGTAGCACAAGCGCCTGCCTGGCAAGCACAAGGTCCTGAGTTCAATTCCCAGTACCAAAAAAAAAAAAAAAAAAAAAAAAAAAAAAAATCAGGCAGCTGAACGTGGGTCTGGTTGTTTTCTGCCTAGGCTATTCTGTTCTAGGGGTCTGTGTCTTTTTTGCCAGTACCATGCTGTTTCCTTTTTGAATCACTGTAGCTTTTTTTTTTCTTCTGTCTTTTTGAGACAGGGTCTCACTACACAGTTCAGGCTGGCCTTGAGCTCACTGTGTAGCCCAGGCTGGTCTTGAATTAGTGACGATCCTCCTGCCTCAGCTTCCCAAGTGCTAAGATTACAGGCATGCGCCACCTTGCCTGGCTTTAAATCGCTGTGGTTTTGTAATCTTGTTTTTTTTTTTTTTTTTTTTTTTTTTTGAGACAGGGTCTTGCCATGTAGTGCAGGCTGGCCTTGAACTCTGGGTAATCCTCCTGCCTCAGCCTCCTGAGTGCTGGGATTACAGGTGCGTGCCACCACACTCAGCTGTAATCTAACTTGAAACCCAGCCCAGTACTCAGGAGGCTGAGGCAGGAGGATCACTGCAAGTTCAAGACCAGCCTGGGCTACAAAGTGAACTCAAGGCCAGCCAGAGCTGCAGAGTGAGACCCTGTCTCAAAAAAATACAAAAAACCAAAAAAAACGAAAAAAACCAACTTGAAACCCGGGATCGTGTTGCCTCCTGCTTTGCTCTTGTAGCCTAGGACTGCTTTTGTTGTTTTGGATCTCTGCTGGTTCCATGTACATTTTAGGGTCACTTTTCCCAGTTCTCTGGGGAATGCTGTTGTTACTCTGACTGGGAATGCCTGGAGTCTCTATACCAATTTTGGAGGCATGGTCATTTGGACTATATTGGTTCTACTTCTCAGGAAACAAAGGGTGTCTTTCTGTTTTTGATGTTCTCTTTGATATCCTTTTTCAGAATATTATGGTTTTCATTGTAGAGGTCTTTTGCTTCTTTGGGTATATTAATTTGTAAGTACTTCCTTTTTTTTTTTTTGGTCTTTTTGAGACAGGGTCTCACTAGGCAGTTCAGGCTGGCCTGGAGCACACTTTAGTGTAGTCCAGGCTGGTCTTGAACTTGCAACAGTCCTCCTGCCTCAGCCTCCCGGGTGCTGGGATTACAGGCATGTGCCCCCATGCCCGGTGAGTATTTACTTTTTAATGAAGCTATTGTGAGTGATACTGTTTTCCTAATTTCCTTCTCAGGGGGTTCATTATTGGTGCATAAGAATGGTTTATTTTGTATCCTGCTTCCTTGCTGAATTTATTAGTTCTAGTGGTCTTTGGTGGATTTTTTGGGGGGTCTTTTATGTAAAGGTTCATGTCATAGTTTGACTTCTTCCTTTCCTTTGTGTACTCATTTTATTTTTTATTCTCTTGCCTGATTATTCTGGCTAAAGTTTAGTTACTGCTGCATGTGGTGGTGCAGTCCTGTAATCCCAGCACTCTCAGAAGGCTGAGGCAGGAGAGTCATTGTGAGTTCAAGCCAGCCTGAACTACAGAGTGAGGCCCTGTCTCAAAGACAAACCAAACCACCAACCAACCAACTAAACAAACAAACAAACAAAAACAAATAAAAAATTTCGAATACTATACTGAATAGAAGTGGTGATAGTGGGTATCTTTGCCTTATGCCTGGTTTTGGAGAAGCTTGCAGTTTTTCCACATTTAATATAATATTGGCAATATGTTTGTCATAAATGGCTTTTATCAGATTGAGATAAAATTCTTCTATTCCTATTTTCTTCAGGTTTATTTTATTTTATTATTTTTTGAGTCAGGGTCTCTCTATGCAGTTCAGGCCAGCCTTGAACTCTCAGTGATCCTCCTGCCTCAGCCTCTTCAGTGCTGAGATTACAGGTGTGCACCACCATACCCGAATTCTTCAGGGTTTTTGTCATGAGTGGCTGTTGGACTTTGTCAAAGGCTTTTTCTGGGTCTACTGAGATAGTGTGATTCTTACCCTTCCTTCTATTTATGTGTCATAGTACATGTATTGATTTGCATGTGTTGAACCTTCCTTGCATTCCTGGGATGAAGCCTGCTTGGTCGTGATACATGATCTTTTTTGATGATTTATTGCATTCTGTTTGCCCGTATTTTGTTGAGGAGTTTTGCATTTATGTCCATTAGAGAGTGGCCTGTGATGGCTAGTCTTTGTCAGTTGAGTCCTTTCCTGGCTTTTACATGCCCAGCACTTTAAAAATTAACAGGAAGGTGCAGATTTGCGATCCTCTTGCTTCAGCCTCCCAGAGTGCTGGGACTGCAGGCCTGCCACACTGCTTGGCTTCTTCCCCTTGTTCTGAGACCTCCATCCGCTCCTTTCCCCCGCTCCTCACAGTGACCCTGCTCTCCAACCCTCGCTTCCCAGTTTCCTCCTCCCTGCCCCCACCCCTTGACCTGCTTCCTTTCTTCTGAGTCTTCTTTCTCTTCCTCTGCACCACGGATCCCTTGGTTTTTCTGATCCTTCCTCCCGAATGTTCCCTTCCTCACTGCCATCCCTCTGCCACTCCCTGCCCAGTCTCCTTGGGCTCCCCCTTCCCCTCTCCTCCCAGTGCTCTCCATTCAGCACCACTCCTCGCCCCCTTTCCCTATGGAGGAGCTAGGACTCAGCCGCACCCCAGCATTTTTATTTTTTTTTATTTGGGGACAGAGTCTTTTGGAGTTGTCCAGGCTGGACCTGAACTTGAGATCAGCCCCAGCCTCCCAGACTACACCCTGGTGTACTTTTTGGTGACCTTGTAATCGTCTACTTCCTAGGGCCCAGATGTCTTGTTACCTCTGTTTACCGCTATAATAAGGCCTCTTGTTACCGCTATCCCTTCCCTTCCCGATGGCCTCCTCTGCCCTCCTTGTCCTTCCCCCGCCTCCTGTTCCCTGCTGTTCCCCTTAATGTGTCCCCTCTGCTCCTGCTGAGAGCTGGGCCACCCCAGGCATCCTCAGGGCCACTGTGCTCCTCCCAGCCTCAGCATCTCCTTTCTTCTCTCCCTCCCACAGTGATGCTGCAAAACGGGACCCTGAGCTGGTACAGCCAGCAAGGGATAGCAGGCGTGCACCTGCTCCCTGGCCTGACCTATGACGAGCACAGACAGGAGCTGGTCGTGGCGAAGGCCGGGTCCTACATCGTCTGCCTGCGCCTGGCGCTGAGTCGTGTGTTGCTGACCTCCCAGGACTCTGGCAGGGTCTCACTGGCCCTGCGCCTGCAGCCGCCTCAAGCTGGGGCCACCGCCCAGGCTCTGGCCGTGGAGCTGACGCCCGACTCCTCCGTCTCAGTGGAAGACTCCCGCTGCCACCTGCTGCAGATGTCTGACAACCAGCGGCTCAGCGTCCGCCTCAGGGTCTACCTGTCTGCCGAGGTTGGCGAGCACCAGGCCTGGCAGCTGGACCACCCCGCCACCGAGTTAGAACTCTTCCGAGTGGCCGCCGAAGTCCCAGACTGACTCCCCTCCACGTGATCCCTGCTGTGGGTCCTGCCCTCCTTTCCTGTAGCCCCTGGTGCTGGGACAGGGTGCTCTACCTCATGGGCCGGGCAGGGGTCCCTGTGCTGACCTCTCCTCTCCAGGACTCTCCCGAGTATTTATTCTGAGCCTGAGCTCAGAAAGTACACTTTATATGAAGACATTGTATTGCACTTATATTTATTGAGCACTTATGGTGTGCCAGGCAGGTGCTAGAGGACCATTGGAAAAGACAGGCCCCAAAGAAAAAGTTTTATTTATGTTAATATATGAGAAATGTATCCTCCCACCCCCACTGTGCATCTAGAGTTTGGGACGAGCGTGCATCTGGCAAGCGAGCGTGATCCATCCATCCGAGAGTCATGCCTTCTTGCAGCTCTTCACTGAGGGTTTACTGATGACGGGCCAGTGCTTCTTTTCGTTTTCTTCTTCTTTTTTTCTCTCTCACAGTGCTAACGTGGAGCCCAGCACCTCACACATGTTAGGCAAATTCTCTACCACTAAGCTACACCCCCAGGCAATGCATTTTCTTTTGTTTTGCCTTTCGGTGAGGCAGGGGAGGAACCCAGGGCCTTTGCACTGAGCTCCATCCTCAGCCCTTTTCTTATTTTTTAAATTTTGAGACAGGGTGTTGCTAAGTCGCTAAGTTGCCCAGGCTGGGCTTGGACTTGCGACCCTGCTGTCTCAGCCTCTCACTGCGCTGGGAGGACAGGTGTGCGCCACCGTACCTGGCTTTTAGCAATTCTTTATGTACTCAATCCAGTCATGTTGGTGCCTAAAATGAATTGTGACAATATTGGATAATATTTGTTGAGCTAGGTGCAGAGATGGTTGTCTGTAATCTCAGCTACTTTGGAGGTTTATTGAAAGTCCCAGGCCAATAGCCGGGCGTTGTGGTGCATGCCTATAATCCCAGCACTCGGGAGGCTGAGGCAGGAAGATTGCTGCGAGTTCGAGACCAGCCTGGGCTACAAAGTGAACTCAAGGCCAGCCTGAACTGCATAGCGAGACCTTGTCTCAAAAAGACAACAACAAAAAAATAAAGTCCCGGGCCAGCCTGGGCAAGGTAGTGAAGACACTGTTCCAAAATAAAATGAAAAAGGGCTAGGGATGTAGCTTAGTGGTCAAGCACTTGTCTCACATGTGCAAGACCCCACCCCCAAATTTGTTGAGCGTGTACTATGTACATCACTGTTAGTTATTTTCCTGGACACTCCCGACAACCTTCCATTGTGGAGAGTTTATGAGCTGTATTTTACCGTTTCCTACAAAGGTACTTGAGGATATTTACTTCGATTGAGTTCCTGGGTTGGAGATATTGTGCAACAGTTCTGGGTCTGGTGACATCACACTGGTGATCTTGGAATTGGTGGTGATAAGAGAATTTACAGGGACGGAACCATGAAGGGCTGGGGTTGCGGCGTGCTTTACTCTGTGCTGATTTAAATTCCTTGTTGGCAGCCGTCCACAAGCCGTGGAGGAATGTCATTGCTAAGCCTGTGGAGTCCCAGGCACATGGCACATAACGTAGAACATCGAGGAAGCCTTGTTGGGCATCGTGACGCTGTTACCTGGCTCTGCGCGGTCGCTGATGCTACTGCAGACAGTGAAGTCGAGACGCTGGCCCTCGTTCTGTCCTTCCCTCTTACCGCACGGGCTTGAGGCAGCAAATGGCTGCGGTTCAAGCTTTTAGGAAAAATTTTGGCAAGTGGCATGTGTGGAGGAATAAAGTGATAATATGAGATTTCCAAGGGTGACTCTCTTTCTTTGTGGGGGGGATACAGGGTTGTTATGGTTTAGAGCTAAAATATCCCCCAAAGTCTCACAAGGGGCCTTTTTTTCCTCTTTTTTTTTTTTGTGTGTGTCTTTTTGAGACAGGGTCTCGCTGTGCAGTTCAGGCTGGCCTTGAGCTCACTTTGTAGCCCAGGCTGGTGTCGAACTTGCAATGATCCTCCTGCCTCAGCCTCCCGAGTGCTGGGATTACATGACCACGCCTGGCCCTTCCAGTACACTTTGAACTAAGATGTTTTCAGCACATGAGATATGCTCAAAAATACATGGTGGGGACAACCCACTTGGGATCCCCTCCTGTCACTCGGGAGCTATTCCTATTCCCCAATAAACCTTTCCTACTTTCACTTCCCTTGTCCTTTGGAATTCATTTTTTGATTTCTGGGGACATGAACTCGGCACAGCTGACATCTAACAGGGTCTTGCTCTGTAGCCCAGGCTGGCCTTGAACTTGCGGCAATCCTCCTGCCTCAGCCTCCCAAGTGTTGGGATGGCAGGCAGGTGCCACCACGCCCAGCTTAAAATTTATATCCAACGATGGACAGCAGCAGTTATCAACTGCTCACCTTAAAGGGACGCAGATACTCAGCTGCAAACAGCCTCTCGGGGTCTAATGTTTTCACTTAATAAATGGGAAAATAATTTATGTCTTATCGGCTGTTGGGAATATTAATGAGAGAGTGGGCGTGGCACTTGATTGAATCCATGCAAGCTGTGATTATTACAGCAATTGGGTCATGGCCAGATGGTATCTAAAGTTGCAGTGAATTTAGGACCCTGTCGTAGCAGTGCACTCATAATCCCAACACCCTGAGTGGCCGAAGCAGGAAGATGACAAGTCAAGCCTAGCTTGGGCAGCTTAGTGAAACCCTGCTTCAAAATAAAAAATAAAAAAGGGCTGGAGATACAGCTCAGTGCAAAGGCTCTGGGTTTAATTCCCACGATTGGGGCAGTGGGTGTGGGGGAGAAGAAAACAAAAGAGGGTTTGTAAAGAGCGGTGAGGAAGAGCATTCCAGCCAGAGGGCAGCAAGTGCAAAGGACCTGGGGTAGGAGAGGGCCTGGGGCATATTTGGTGGAGATGAGGGACAACAGCAGACCATGTGGGTTTATGGAGGCCCGCCCCAAACTTACCCTTGTGACAACAGAGTATCATGTGGATGACAGTTTAGATTAGCTTGTTGGAAGATTCGTTGGGCAGGGGTGGGAGGTCTGAATGGGAAACTTGAGGCTGGAGGCAGAGTCTTCAGGGAGACCCAGAACCAGGCAGGCCAGGTGGGAAGAAGAAGCGGCTGTAGAGATGGAAAGGTGGGCGCCAGAGAGCTCCAGATGATAAAAGGCACAGAGTGGGTGATACTTGGAATACAGGTGGCATGGAGGGGGCAAGGAGCCTCAAACTTTCAACTCATGTAACAGGATAGATGGTGGAGA